TTTGAAATCAGAGAATGCAAGAGTAGAAAGTGGAGGAAATGTTCTATTCGATTCGCTTCTTTTTTATTTTTCAGCATTGTAAGCATTATGAAATAAAATAAACTTAAATGTTATCTGATGAACTTATTAATTAATATGAAAACAAAATGAAATGAAACAAATTTATAAATATGTAAAAAATAAAAAATGTAATGTTAACAAAGTAGTTTTGGCATGAAATTAAAAATAAATTTGATTGTCCAATTTTATTTAACTATTTTTACAAAATTTTTCTAAGGAGTTCAGTCATACTTTACACAAAATGATTGACTTGAAAGGTTATGAAATTTGTATGACAATTGATATTTCCCATTCATTCTAATTAATCTATTTTCTCAATTTCATCAATGTGAATTAGACACAACAACTAAATCTATCAATATGACATATTTCAGACTTTTTTTTCATCATTGCTTAAAAGACATTAGAATTTTTGTCGATTTCTATTAAGATAGAAACATAATTATACAAATCCTTCAAATATTATATCTCTTGCAATATATATATTAATGTTATAATATTATATAATTACAGATACAGTTATATTTAATATGAATCAACTAAAATATCAAAACATTTCAGTTATTATTTTGTTTATACTAATAGAAAGACAAATTATCATTTTTATATTACTGATGAAACCACGATAGCAAAATTTTATTCTATATTTTAATATTTAATGTTAATTTAATTAAGTATACAAATTTTTATGTAAAATGCAATATATTTCATAAAATGATCGTTCTATTTCATTATATCTTCAAAAAATTAACTCTTTCAAGTACAAGATGATATGCTTACATGTCTAATTATAATTCTAAGAAGAAACAAGAGAAAAAAGAAAGATTGTAACCTTTTTTGCAGTCATACTTGTATTAACTTGTAATATTTTAAAAATGTATTCAATGCTAGGCATTATCTAAAGATAATAAGTTATGGATAGGTTTTTCTTATCTTATCTACAAGTACAAATAATTGGTATATGTTCTATGTTATTCGATTGTGCAATATTCCATTGAATATTGAGGTAAAATACCGTATAATAACATTTTTTAGCACAATCATTAAATGCACTTATTAAGTAATTTTATGGATCTGAGAATGATTAAAAAATTTATATTTTTCTATTTCAATTTCTATTTAAGAATAAATTAAATTTGAAATTGTATTAGAGTTACATATAATTAAAAATGAAATGATCCTATCATTTTTTTTCCTGATTATTACTTTTTCAGTATTATGGATCAAATCAATAAATTTGATTTTATGTTTCTCACGTGCCTCTTTGTATAACATCATATTCTTAATGGTTGTATTATTATTTTAATGTTTATAGTATATAGTTTATAGTATAAATGATGAAAATCCTAATATATGACAAATATTCAAATGATCAATGATATTTCTTATGAAAAATGTATTAAAGTTTGATATTTCATACTTATATAACTTATATAAACAGATCAATAAAGATATACACTTATACGACAAAAAATCAAAAATATTTTAATGTTATATTCTACAATTTAACAATATATATACTAATAAGCACTGATTATTTGCACTTTGTTTTGATAACTTCATATATGTGAATATATATTATCTTTCTCTAATAGTAAAAAATTAAGATTCATTCATTTTTCCAATAAAAAGAAAATATGTCTGTCATCTGTTTTGTAATATTTGTAAAGAAATATTAATAATTTTAACTTTAAAAATATTATTTATTATTGACTTTAAAAATATTATTTATTATTAACTTTAAAAATATTATTTATATATGTAAAAATAAAGAAATTTTATGAAGTCTGAATACTAAGGTTATATTTATATATACACACATAT